CTTGGAAAATAGGAAGATCGAGGAGGACGGGGGAGGAAAAGTCTTTGAAGTAACTCTAAATAGCAGTGTTACAACTCTATTCCTAGTTTTTGCATAGTTTTAAAGCAAGATAAATCCTCCCCGCTCATCTCCATCCCTCCCCCCTTCTCTCCGGAGTTCGTCCCGAATCCGTCTATGAAAATTCAGGTGCTGTTTATTTGCCAGTTGTGTAGCCGACATTCGTACGTACGTGTAGACAATAAAGCAAAGAATACGTGAACTGCACAATGCCGATAATTTTTCCCTACCAGATGACTGGCCTTGATTAAATATGAATCAGTGATGAACTAGTAGGTCTAAAACAGATCCACAAAACCGACCCTGAATTTACTTTTAGGAATTTTTCGAAGGAACTCTTCTAGCCTAAAAAATTGAACATACTATATCATCAAAATCTACTTTAATTTAAGCATCTACCCCGACACAAGTTACAAAAATAACGCTGAATCTACTTCTAGAAACCTCCTGGGAACCAAGTACCATGCGTGCGCCCCGGACTGCAGCCAAAATAGTAACTATTTGTACTTCAAACGAGGTAAAGCACTTCGCCCAGCGTCATATAAAAATACCGATGTGGAAATCCACAAACCTGATGCCCTGAATATACTTTTGGCAAAGCTGACACAACTAAATGCCAGCAATTTACTCAATGGCAATCAAAAGTCACAGTTATCTACAGATGAAAAAAAAAACAGATCCAAAATTTTAATCTAAATTAATCCAGTGCATTTTCAGGTACAAGAAACCAAAAAGACCACTGAAAAAAACGCCAAAACTTTGCCCAAAGAACATTTTATTATAGTCCAAATACAGTTTCTCTCAGTGTCACATTGAAAAGCAGAAAGACAAAGATTAAGCCTTCAAGTCAAGAATCATAAGCAGTCGTTAAAACAGATTTATAAGATAATATGCAAAACTAGACCTCTGTATCTCCTCGGTCCAGGTACTCTTTTAACCCAAACTTACCACACATAACAGCAAAGAGCTCTTGATTGGTGGCATTCCTGGACCAAAACAGTGCCTTTTGGCCGGAGATGTCAAAATACAAATTCAGTTCTTTGGTCACCAGTATTCTTAAACCAAAAGAGTAGCCCCAGGCCAGCTCATGTCAATATGCAAATCCAAGCGTAGATATTTCCGGACCACGACCAAAACAGTACTCAGGCCGAAGCATTACAGTATGCAACCTCTGGAAAAGATGCCCAGCATAGTGTTCAACCAAAACAGTGACCTGTGGCCAAAATGCTTATCCTCCCCTTCCGTTATCGCTACTCACTTTGGAGGGATCTTTTTTTCTGAAAAAACAGTTCAATCAGTATTTCCCATGACTTTTTTTTGCTGATTTTTGAGTCCCGAAGCAATAATTTTTAGGACATTACTCTCGGCAAACAATGTGTTCCCACTAAATCGCTTCTCATAAAAATGACATTCGGCCCAGCCAGAGCAAAAAAAAAAGAAAAAAAAATGAAGTCTCTACATCCTCGTTCTCGATATATGACACTGAGCAAAAATCTATTCGAAAAATCACTAGAAGCATAAAGCTCGAAAAGAATGTTATCAAAATAAGTCGTTAACGCTTTTTTTTACAGGCGGAACCGAACTTGACTGTGAGGGATACATATGAAATGAGTGAGAATTATTCTGGAATAATCCAGAAAAATCCACCCTGTGTTAAATGGAACTGACAGTACAAGAAAAAAACCATTATCGTAATTACACCAGAACATGGTAATACATCGTATAATACCAATATATCAGAATCGTAGCACTGCCTTAGTTACAGAAAGAATGCAAGCACGAAAAAATCAAATTAAATTGTACCTCAAAATTAACAGTGTGTATGTACCAAAGTCAAAAAAAAAAAGCCGAAAGTGTTGGAGAGGTCGAGTAAAACGTATCAAGCGAAGAATTTAATGATTTAACGGACCGAAAAGTCTCACTTGAAAGTTTTTTTTCAGCCTTTAAACTCTCTTATCTTTTCTCGTCGTCCGTTTCGGCTCTGCCATAGTATTTTGCGCGTCAGTACTTAAAGGGAGGAAATCCCGAGATCAGCTTTCTTCTTGCTCGAACCGACCATGAGTTTTAAAACATTTGTGCTTCTTCAAATGTATAAATTTCGAGATTTTTCTTTAAATTCATTCTTTCTGCTTTGCTTTTATAAAGCTCATATCATCATTCCGAACGGAATCCTCTCCCTTCTCCCTAATTCCTCCTTTTTCCTCAGTTCCTCCATGACCCGTACCAGCTCTTCATCTTCCTCTCCGATGCGAAATCATCACAAGGATGTGCGAAAAAATCACCCTTCGGAGAAGTAATCTTTGCTTGCATTTGATTGTAGGAGACTAGTTTTCGTTAGCTGAGCCTAGCAAAAACCTCTACAAACATTTTCAGCTAGCAACGGAAAGGAAATATAATACAGCGCTAAATAAACCGTGACACAAAAAGTGAAAAGAGGCAAGCAGTAGAAAAGAAGAAAAGCTCACAAAACATACACACCTCGTTATGCACAGCAGGAAGGATGAATGTAAAAAATGTACAAAATAAGATAAAAAACTCCCTATTCAAATACCCTCTTTCGAGACGTAAGTTTCGAGAAAGCAAAGCAAAAGGGGAGCTTTATTTGTCCCAGTTAACTCCTCTCTTTGAACACCAGCACTCGGAAAGCAACATTTGGGAAAGCGAAGCAGACTGGGAGCACCTTGCGAGGAAATAAAGTAAAAGAGGAACAAGAATTTTTTGTTCTTTTTTGTTCTGGAACAAGAATCAACAATGAGGGAAAGCGCGACAAAAAATACACCAGATCGTGCAAATTCAATGGAGAAGAAGCAAAACTCACCCCAAAAAATACAAAATTTAATCTGGCAGACAAAAAAAGACCACACCAAAGTCTTGCAAAAACCAAGCGCCTCACTCTGGAAGACTGCCAGGACTGCTCGGACAATTAGCGTGGGTATTATATGCTAGTGTTGTTATTGGAAGGTTCAAACACGCTAGGTGTAGCTATGCTAGGCCATTCGAACCTCAACTGCATACCTCCAGCTAGTACTCTCCGCTTGTTCGAATATGCACGCCTTCTCGATAACCAAAAAACTGACTAAAAACACAACTTCTCGGAGCAGTAACCACGTTCCTCATGCAGTAATATCG